CCTCAAAATTAAAATGAAACTCGTTGCTTGTGGCTTTCATGCGACTTTCTGTTACCTAAGATGAATGCAACGAATTACTTTCGAACCATCCCTGTTGAGAATGTTGCAATCAACTCTGAGAGACTCGCTACGCTCTTGCTGTTTTTCCCCGTTTACTCATACCTTGTATTTCCGACGCCTTGACTTGTGTCCTCCATTATTTCTCATTTATGGTCTCACGCAAGCATCAATTGCGAATATGTGTTTCAAGAAAAAGTATTCCTATGAAGATGACATTTCGTGTCCATTTTTTCCCGTTTCAGGCTCTATTTCTGAACCAAAAAAGGTAAACAAATCCATCACGGCTGGTAGCTCATGCAACGCAAGTCTGAAAAACGTGGAAGACCTGGCCCAGTGCCTCCAATACCTGAGTGTCAGTCTCCAGGACCTGTCCAGCCGTTTCAACCAATTCGTGGAGGGCACCCACTTTCACGACTCGGATCGAGTTTTTGTCTTCGATTGGCGGGTTCCCTTGGAAATCATGGAGAATTACACCCTAGGAGAAAAGTTTACTTCGAAAAGATTTTACATCTCACCGGGAGGTTACCGCATGTTCCTGACCATGTACCCGATCGGGGAAGCGACCGAGAGCAGCGTTCTTCTGCAATACGTCAACATTTATGCGGGGATAGCACGCGGAGTCAATGACAATTACCTCTCCTGGCCCTTCGTTCTCAAGTATCACCTGATCCTGTTGGATCAAACCGAAGACGATCCCGTGGATGTGGAATACGCGGTCGATCCTCGTCGGAGCTGCCTCCAGACGGGCGGAGACATCGGGCATGCCTTCACCAAACCTCCCGCTGCGTTTAATGAAGGTTTCAAGTGTGGAACGAGAGTCATGATGAAGAGAGAGGATATCTTCACCCGTAATTACGTCAAGGACGAGCATCTCGTCTTTCGACTGAAGGTCTTTCTTGCATAACATCAATATATCAGGCCCAACAAAGATCCAGAAGCTTCCAGATTAGGATATTTTCGAAGTGACACATTGACTGCAAGCCTTTGTGACGCCTTAAGGCTCTGTCATAAGCAGATTGCGACATTCCATGCATTGTGAAAAACTGCCAAAGGAAATTCAAGGTTCCTTCGCCTTCTCCTTTTAACATTTTCTTTTCAGCACGTGCTATGCATGAGGAAGAAGATATTTGAAGGACTTCGCTTACATAATAAAAGCAACCATCACCACATATCCATTCAATTCCTAATGAACTTTTTGGGGATTTCCATCCTCATCGCCTTCGCCCATTTCCATTTCTTTGGTGACGTTTTCAAAGATGAAAATCTCCTGAAACGCTCGTGATAATCCATTCCTCCAGGGATTTTGGCCATCTTTTCTCAAAATAATTTTTTTTTTAAGGTTCGATTCTGGCTGTCGGACATAGTTGGAAAGAATGGGGTGGTGGTAGGAAGAAAAAGACATGAACAATGTGAGAGAATTGAGAGGTCGTTGAGAATTACATTTCAGCGTACTGTAGATATTATTCCACCGGTATTGATAATTTATTTCTGACGAGCTACAGTGTGACACAAGTCACTTCAATGAAAAAAAAAACCCTTCGCCTAAAATCTTCATTTCCGAACTAGCGGAGATGCTCAAAGTGTTCTCCCTGAACCACGATGTTGTTTAACGTAGCCCCAGAAGAAGAAATCCGGGGGAGTGAGGTCAGGTGATCGAGGGGGCCATGACACAGGTCCACTTATTACCGAACTGGTTATTCTGTCAAGATAGCAGAGACTTTAGGTCAAAACGGCCGAAAAGTTCATGACAGCGAATTGCAACATTGGCAAAAAAGGGCGTACTTTGATTTTTCATCCACATTCCCAAATTTACTGGATCTATTGCGAAATTAATGGAATCCCTAGCCTCGACTTACGTTTGTCTTGTAAGTAATTGATTTAGAGTGTTGTTGGAGTTTTCAGTGTGACTGTTCAGAGTGAAACATGTAGACCCAGGCTTGACCTGAATGCAGTTAGTGGGTCGTGCAGTCAGCATGCCAGACTTTTCCAGTATATTTCCAGTCTCCAGCAGCAGTTTTTACATCTGGTCAGTAATATAAATAATTAATCCTGCTCATAGGTCCCATACCGATGCAATTTTGGTTTGATCTCAAATTAAATTATGCTTTTTTGTTTTCATATTAAAAAAAACTGCTTGAAATGTTAACGTTAGAGTTCCAATGACTTCATTCATCGGGATAAAAAAGTGCATCTGCACGACATCGTTGAAAGAAAACTTTTAAAATGTCATGCTACGTAGGCGACCTATTCGTGTGTTTCGACAGATTTCCTCGAAATGTTTAACATTCTAAGCGGACAGATATGCCATTGCTGCTGCGAGGCTCGAACCCACATTTGCATGGGAATGCTTTTACTTTCAGGGAGGCTAGGCCGTTTCATTTCTCTGACGAGAAAAAGCTCATCGACTTGAGCGCACTCAGTGGACAAGGCAATGAATGGATAATCGTCGAAAAATTGCTGCAACACTGACACCTTCACTACTACCTGGGCGGGTCTCCCTGCGGGCAGGCTCTGTCGATGCGGCATCATCGCTGAAAAGGTTTGCGTTATGCAGTGATCGTACGGAGCATTCGGAAAGTCACTTGGAGTGGACCGAAGCGTGACGACGAACCATTTCCCCGAAACGCCAACTCCATCCATCTATGAGACATACCAACAGGAACCACTGGCTCGCGCCTGCGGAAGCCTCGAGCTTCCATAAAAGGCCCAACCGCAGCTCATATCAGAATCAGTTTCGATCCATCCCTATTGAGATTATGGCAGTCGAATGCAACAGACACTCTATCCTCCTTTTGTTCCTCCTCGCTTGTTCCTCCACTTCCTTCCTTCATGGCGTTCCTAGTGACCTTCCTCCATTTACCATTGGAGAAGACGTTCTCGTTCTTCGTAAGTTCGGTTCTTAATCTCTCTCGAGAAGTGTATTTCAAGAAACCTATCCAAAACGAGTCCAAATGTATATGCAGTATAGTATTCTACTCTGAATTTATGAGCATTCATATGATAATTCCTAGATGTGCCAAGGAAGCTAAAAGCACACTAAGGGTGGTTACAAATTGTCCATTGGTTAAGTCACTGAATAAAGAAATATCTTGTAATTAAAAATTTCTCCTGGGCATACCTGCTCAGTACCATAGATACCTTACAGGGCTACCTACCTAGAGTGTTAACATTAAGGCTTGTCGAAACAGGGTTTTGAAAGAAAACCCTACTTGATTTCGTTCAAAAATTACAAAGAGTCACAGGCAAAAAATTCGACGACACATTCTTATTTTCCCAGAAGTTTGGAGTGCCTTTTACATGAACACATGCTCAAAACGACAGACCCCTCCAGTCCAAGGATGCCGTGAAAACATTCATGGAAGAGCTTCCGAAAAATCCCAGATACATCCGCCGCGAAACAACAGGACCCGCGTCCCGCAGTCAAAGAACGCGTCCGAGCCAGCAGATGCGGATGCGACAGACTTTTCTTCCGTCGCGCAGATCGTTCATGGAACAGGAAGGAAATCCCCTCCGCACGTTATCGGTTGACTCAGACAGCTCCGCCGGAAGCTGTTCTGCCCCTCCCGTCGCAGGAAGGGCGAGGCCTCTCTGTTTTCTTCTCGTCGTAGAGGTTGTGGATTGTTCTCAGCGCGCTCTTTCCCACTAAGAGATGTAATTCTTTCAGTCCCAAGCCTTCATACGAGACCCTATATGCCTGTAGAGCAGTCAAATTTCCAAGGTTGAAAATGTTAAAGCTTTCGTTCTCATCATGCCCTTCTACCATAAAGTGAATTTGGAAAGGAAAACTTTGACCATTTCAGGTTTTCATCTACCGATACTGTAGCCACATTGTATGACACTCCATCCTTTGAATTAGCACCTAGAAAAGGGAAACTACAGCGCCCATATTATACATGCATGACATATTTATTTTGAATCACCGAACCCTTCTTTGCCGAACAAATGTTTCTTTTTTTTCAAGTCAGTGAGGTTCTGTATCTTTCGGGTGGAGAGATGAATCATGCCGTTTCCATGAAGTTTCATGTCTCCTTCACTCTTAGTATGCTAGGAAGATTAAGGGCACGTGGAAAACATGAGCAGCTGTTCATGCTCTCTCGCATTTCTCCCATTCAGAACGTCATACAAAAAAATTATTCGTTGACGATGTTCCTCTCGTAAATGTTGTCACGTAGATGGAAGTTATGAACGATAATAATTAAGAAGTCGCAAGCCAACTGCCGAATTACTGGTGATGTTCCTGTTAAATTGCTACTTCCTCTGCCAGCGGAACATTTTTGGACTCCTACGAGTCGCACGTAGCTCGGAACCACCCCATGGTGTTCTCTAACAGTTATTGACGCCTACACGCCTCATGAAGGAAATCCCATGGATATCCAAACGACTTGGCGACTAGGATGTTAAAATTGCACAACTTCCAGAATGTTCCCTGTTTCTTACTGGGATATCCCCGCAAGCAGGACATTCATGGGGACATTCATTGAAAGTCACCAATCCTACGTGGCATCCATGGGGGATGTCTCAGGGTTTTCCATAAAATTAGGTTGGTCATAGTTTGCGGCTAAAATTTTCTTTCGATTTGCATGAAAGTCATTTTTCCATGCTATTTTAGAGGTGCCTTTCCTCGTCTAGCAAAGGGACCAACTGCCTCTTTAAAGTCCATCATGTCTACCAATGCAGTACATCAAGCAAAATGGTCACTGTTGCTTGAGGACTTCCTCTTGCAATTGTGTATTCGTTGTTTCTGAACAAATCAAACTTTTAATATCCCGATACTAAATGACCTTAACATGTTTCCTGCATTATGCCGTATTTATAGTCTCACACAAGCATCAACTACATATTCACGCATGGAAAATAGCAATTCCATGATGATTACATCTTGTGTCTATTTTCCCGTTTCAGGCTCTATTTCTGAACCAAAGAAGCTAAACAAATCCATAATGACCGGCAGTTCATGCAGTGCAAGTCTGAAAAGCGTAGAAGACCTGGCCCAGTGCCTCCAATACCTGAGTGTCGGTCTCCAGGACCTGTCCAGCCGTTTCAACCAATTCGCGGAGGGCACCCACTTGCACGACTCGGATCGAGTTTTCGTCCACGACTGGCGTGTCCCTTTGGAAACCATGGAGAATTACACCCTGGGAGACCAGTATACCTCGAAAAGATTTTACATCTCACCGGGAGGTTACCGCATGTTCCTGACCATGTACCCGACTGGGGAAGCGACCGAGAGCAGCGTTCTTCTACAATACGTCAACATTTTCGCGGGGATAGCACGCGGAGTCAATGACAATTACCTCTCCTGGCCCTTCGTGCTCAAGTATCAGCTGATCCTGTTGGATCAAACCGAAGACGATCCCGTGGATGTGGAATACGCGGTCGATCCTCGTCGGAGCTGCCTCCAGTCGGGCGGAAACGTCGGGCATGCCTTCACCAAACCCGTCACTCCGTTCAACGGAGGCTTGAAATGCGGAACGAGAATCCTGATGAAGAGAGAAGAGATCTTCACCCGTAATTACATCAAGGACAACCACCTCGTCTTTCGACTGAAGGTCTTCCTTGCATAGTATCGACATTTCGAGGCCAATACAGTTACACATGCTTCCAGTTATGGAAATTTCCAAACTATAAATAACACCGACTGCCAGGCTCTGTGACGCTCTATGGTCATCAACATGTGTTGTTTTGGCATTCGCCGAAAAAAAAAATAAAAACAAAAATGCGCTGGTGCATTTGCCTTCTCCTATGTCTGCCTTCCTTCATATGTATTTGCTATAAAGGTGGAAGGAAATTTTTGAAGGACATTTTTTGAGCAATAAACTTTATTTGCGTATCTATTCAATTATTAATGGTCTTTTTCAGGATTTTTATTTTAATTGCGCAGACACCCTTCAATCTCGCGTAGGACGTTGGTGACTTGCATTTTTTTCCGCGCAATTCTGTCATGAAAATCTTTTGAAACAATCGCGGCAATTCATTCCAGCCGCCATTTTCCCCATCATGACTCTAAATGAACACATTTTTGTTCTTCGACGCTGGCAGCCGAACATGGAGAGAAAGGAGTGGCATACGGCGGAAATTACATGAGAGAAATTACATAAAATTACAATTACACTTTCGCACGAAAGTGTACCACAAACGTCGCACCACAAATAAATAATAATGGTTTTCCAAACGAGGTGTCAATCTAAGAAGAATTCGCGCCAGGAGACGGCATGCATTAAAAGGACTTCGAAAAGTCTTTCGAGACTAAGTCATGGGAGGACGAAGCAAAAGAGAAGAAGAAAACACTCGGCGAAAGAACAAGAAATAGTCATCAAGATCTTTAAAAAGCCCAACAGGAAGACGAAAGATTCCGGACTTCTTCCAGGCAAGTTTCATCATATTTGGATCCCTTAGCCAAGACTTCGGGAATTGCTCCAGTTTCAGTTCAGAAAATGTTACATTTTTCTAGTCGAAGATACTGCATTGCATAGAGTTGCGTTCGATGGGAATTTCCTGAAGATGGAGACACTCCAATTCATTTATTTTACTTATTCTTCATGCGCTTTGAGGGATTTCGACACAAACCGCGATCTCATCAGACGTTTAGTGGCAATGAACCATTAGTTGGTTCATCGGAGAAGTCTTTGCTCAGATAACTGCATTATCAACTAGAGTAACTGCCAGGTACAGATCTGCCATTCCACTGGGCCGCGTACCACTGGTATTATTATATGTATTCGCCGCAGTCTAACCATCCAACCTTGAAATACACAATAGGTGTCATTGGTACGGAATAGGCCCATATAGAAAGGCTGGGACAACTAGACATGGTACGCCAAGGGAGCCGGGAGCAGCCGCTCTCCTCCATTGAATACTATGGATCCGTCAACCGTGAGCGCTCGAAGGGAAGTGAATGTTTAAGTGATATACGGGCACCCTGACCCAGGCGGAAAGCTGCGCATGCGCATTAGGTCGTGTTGTCCGGGCGCTATGGTTATTCCAGGCAGACGGAATGAAAAAAAAAAAAACAAGTAACAGATCGATCGCAATGTCAGTCATTTCCCCATAGTACCTCTGGGAATGGCAGATAACACATTTTTGGAATTTCAACCAAAATGTCAAGGTGAATTAAGACAAAGCCTCCAGTGAAACCTTTGTTTCAACTAGAACTTCCCTCAAGAAGATGGAGGAGACGAAAGAAATTCGTGGAATTGCATTTTCAGTTATCCCTGTCGAGTCTCCCCATGCGTCCCCAGGGACTTTTCTGGGTTTCGGCCTTTGGAAAGAAGTCAGCAAAGGAAATAAAATGGACACTGGAAAACTTTCTAGGAGGAGTGGGAGATGGAGCCTCTTGGAATCGGAAAATAAGATCTCAGGCAATTTTTAAGATGCAGGAGCATCGAATCGAACATGATATGAGGTGGAGAAAAGATAAATATATTTCATTATCATAATAACCAAAGAACCAACTTTAATTCCTCAATCTTTGCCTCCCACCCTGTCAAATCTGGCGTCGACTTTGTCGATAAATTTCGACTCATTATAAAGGAAACCCCCTCCACGATGTTCCTGGACGTCGCATTAAAACCCATAGTCGAATTTTCTCACAACCCAGCCACGTTTCTCCTCCTTCAGCTGCTGTTCCCCCGGACTTACCTGCTCATACATACGACTTCTCCAGTGCACAGCGATGCAGAAAACGTTTTAGGATAGGTGCAGATGTGAGAGGTACACATCAGTGTCCTTCGGGTCCGCATGCATGCAGCCGTATGTACCTTTGGGCGGATGTTGCCCAGGAGTAATGGGATTCGAAAAGGGCATACGAGATGATCGGACATCAAAAATGTATTCTTTGAGAAATTTTCCCTTTCTCATGCAAAATATGAAAATGTACTCGAAGTCCTTCTTGCGGTGAGATACCGACATGCACGTCACTGTACGTTTCTGCTCAGCTGTGTGATAAGTAATATAGCAACCGTTTCAATCAGGCCCAAGCAATGCTATCACGATTGTGTATAAATTATCGGATACATTTAAAATGGAATGAAGGAACTCATACATACTTAATGATACTCTATTGAAACATACATACTTTACCTGCCACATTGCTCCCGTTACATTGGACCCTGGAAGCGGAATCTTGGAAAGTTTTAGCTTTCCAAGGTGCAGTCATCCGAGGGAAAGCAGACGAACCACGAGCTATGATTTCCAAAATGCTCTTCAAATCGGTACAGCCAACATTTGAAAGAGAATCATTTAAAGGGGGGGGAGCTCAGGACATCAGAGAATATAACTGGGTCGAGACGCCTTTCAATAGAAGACACTGCACGGCCACGCGAAGGCAAATGGAGGTCTAAGCATGGGGGGGGGGGCGGGAGAGGTGAATGACCTGTTCGTCGTCTCCCCGTCTCCTCCCCTCTTCTTTGAGAGATCCCGCTCCACGAGGGGAGGCGAGTGCAGGATGATATGTCATTTTCCTCTGACTTGTTTTCACTCCACGCGTCGAAGCGCCATGACCCCTTCTCGAAATGTAAACCTCGTCGCGCACACGACCGAGAGAAGCGAGAACGGGAGCGTTCCATATTGCGCGTGAATTCTCGATCTTCATCCAACCTTCATCAAACCTTCATCGAACCTTCATCGAACCGTCATCGAACCACAGCGGCATTTCCGTTCCGTACGAAACCGTGCCGACAGCCAAGATGGGAATCCGCGGACTGAGACGTCGGTCTATCGAGCTACTGTCCTTCCTCCTTTGCTTCGGAATCACTTTGCTGCATGGCAAGCCCAGTGCGCTCCCTCCAATTCCGACGGAAGAAGAATTTGACTCTCCTATCTGTGAGTTCCCTCTTCGTTTCTCTCCATGAAATTATTTACCGATGGTGACTGGGAAGGGCAATAACTGAAGAAAGCATGAATACTATTATGCATTTTTGAGACTCATTCGAAATAGGACATGTTGAACCTGACTCGAACACGTTGAAAGTCTATTGTCGATCATTCGTTCTCGACCCAAACGTAAACATTTAGAAAGGATACCCCTAACACAGGAAACCAAACTAACTTCCTCATTTAAACCGAAGCGCGAAGCGAGTTCGTCGTTACATTTCTCATGAGTTACATTTGTAACTCATGAGTTACATTTCTCGCCCGTAACGCCTTCGGAGTGGAGTTTTACCATCGTCATACGGGAGAGGCAGGGGTTCCTCCATGCTTTTGATAGCATTTCATTGGCATTTTTTACTTGACTTCCTACGTTGTTGAATATCCTATTCTAATGCGAAAGCAACTGTTGCCCGCAGTGGAAGCCTTTAATTGAAGAACGAAATACGGATATGAATAAAACGATATATTTCTGTTTATCATGCATTTCCGCTTTCGCCGAGAGGACACGTCGGAGAGGCATGCACTTCCAGCTACGCACTCATTATAAATTCCAAGGCATTTCCACTTTCGATCGCATTCGAACAGTTGATGCCGTGGGAAAAGGGATATATTATCGATCTCCTACGAGCAGCAGCAACCTTCGCCGGAAAAGCCGGGACCCGCTCATACTACGACTAAGAACGGGTATCCACATCGGCAGCGCTCACCATCCCCAATCCCCTTTCCACGAACCCGCTCGTCCCCTCCGTCTCAACGATCCAGGTCTGAAAGTCGCTTCCGACAGCGCGTGGGCGCCGAAGGGCTCGGTCGGAGCGGAGAGGAAAGAAACGGACGACGGCGGGCATCGGAGGACCGCATTCAAATCGCAGGTCGACTTCGTTGCTGGCGCATCCTCCGCCTTCCGGCGGCACATCGTCGTGGACCGCTGGGAGCTTCGACGGGCAACAGGCTAGATAACACTGTAGCAGGCGTGCATTTTGCAATCATGGATACTTCTCTATTGCAAGAAATACTCATCTTTCTTCGACCTTAGAGGGATCCCTGCAATAGGCTTTCTTCATCGTCTCTTCGCAGTGAAAGAGGACTAGTTGAAAATGTTCAAAGTATTGCTCCATAGATTAAATATCGCGAAGAAAATAACTTTGGTCACTTAATGGAAAATTAAAGCCATTTGTTCCCATGTTCTCATGGGGTCTGTTTCCCACTTTCAGCCAATACGACGGATGCGGAACAAGAAAATGCGAAGTCCAATGCGACGCGGAACCTTTGCACCGCAACGACCAAGACCAAAAAGGACATTTCGCTCTGCCTCCAGTACCTGAGCACCAATCTCCAGGAACTGTCCAGCCGCTTCAACCAATTCGTGGAGGGCACGAACTTCCACGACTCGGAACGAGTTTTCGTCTACGACTGGCGAGTTCCGTTGGAGACCATGGAGAATTACGCGCTCGGGGAAGAACTGATCTCGGAGCGATTCTACATCGCGCCGGGCGGATATAGGATGTTCCTGAGCACGTTCCCCGCCGGAGACGCGAACGCGGACGATTCGTACCTCAAGTACGTGAACGTGTTCGCCGGCGTGGCCCGCGGCGTCCACGACGACCTCCTCGCCTGGCCCTTCGTCCTCAAGTTCCAGCTGATCCTGGTGGACCAGACGGACGCGAGCCCCGTGGACGCGGACGTCGGGATCGATCCCCGCCGCATCTGCCTCGACGAGAACGGCGACATCGGCGACACCTTCACCAAGCCTGTGACCCCGTTCAACGACGGCAACGGATGCGGGACGAGGACCCTCATCGAAAGGGAGGAGATCTTCACCCGGCATTACATCAAGGACAAGCATCTCGTCTTTCGACTCAAAGTCTTCCTGCCGTAGATACGTATCGCAGTTCTGGACTGTAGGATTCAAATCCATCACGAGTGGCTTCCAATCTTAAAAATAAACTCTGGCTATTGCGTTTTCTTTTCAATGCACTGTCGCATTCACCTTTCCGGTGGCATTGGTTTTCCATAAACTCGTAATGCATTCGTAATGTTCATTGTTTATTTTCTAATATACATAGACGATCGTGACTGACTGACTGACTGACGCTAATTCTAACCAAGTTCTCGAAAGGTTAGAAATCTGAAACTTGGCACACATAACTTGTTGGGATGCAGAGTTTAGAAAAAAATCCGACTTTGGAGGTAGATACCCTGGGGGTACACATTTTGGGGGGAAAAGTTTTTTTTTAAATACATATTGCGACGTATGAGGATGGGATTCAGAGGTCAAGGTAATGCAAAAGTGTTTTTCTGGGTCGGTCTTGATGGTACATGGTCTTCATGTACCATCAAGACCGACCTTTATGTTCCTGAGCACGTTCCCCGCCGGGGACGGGGAGTTGACCTTTGACCTGTCCCTGATGACCTTTAATATTCAATTTGAAGCGAAAGTGTTATATACATATCATTCGAAAGGCCTGAATTTCCTCTGTCAGAATTCATTTCTATATCGCAAAAACGTTGACATTTGATCCTGCTGTGGTGAATCTGAGTCGAGAGTGCACTGGCGACATCTCTGTACAGTCTAGGTAACTGCTTCCGTTCGGCACCAATTTTGCTACGCTTGACATCTCATCAAAGCACAGAAGTCGCCTAATCGCCAATTTAGCGATTCTAACCTCCATGCCTGAAAAGTAAAGTTTCCTGAGATTTTTGCGTACATTCTGTTCCCACGTACAACTCGAGAGAAGACTTTGGAATTCCTCTCGCGACCAATGGAAGGATGGAATCAGATGGAGACTCCAGGTATTTCTGGCCAAAAGGACCGAAGACGCATGACGATTTTGCCTAAATGACTCCGACCCTGACATCTTTCGTATCTCTTTCGGGCATGGCAGGACGTTAACCGGCCTGCGAGGGTGTGGTTAACTTTCCTCCTGAAACTTGGTACATAATTATACCTACCGCAATTGTTACCGCTGCGTGCAAAAAAATTCAGACTTTGGAATGAAATGCCCTGGGGCCATGAATTTCAAAGGGAGATGTTTTCACAGAATTTCTTTTACATTAGTTCAACCGATGCCACCTGGATTAACATTCTCTACTTCGTCTGAAAGCAAATGATTTGCTTAATCCATTCTAATTTTTGAAACAATGTCAATGTCAACTCATGAAGAAAATGAATTCCAATGTAGAACAAATCAACAGAAGTTCTTCATGAAACTCTTTCCAGAATTGGCTAACTTCAGATGAAATGACACCAATTAGTCCCATGAAAGATGGAACAGAAATCCAAATAATGAGTAGGCCATGATGAATGAGAGATAACATTCCATTTAATTAAATAGAACACAAAAACAATGTGTATCAAGGTAATACATCACCACACTAACCTTGAATATCCACCAAATTGTATGCTTGTTAGTTCACAACACCCAATGATGCTATTTATTAGACACCATCAATGCAGCAATCGTAACATCAGATCAAAAAAAGACCTGATTTAGTCCCTATATCAGAGGCCTACAGACACAACCCCATGTGAAACCCTCACAGGTTTCCTCATAGTTGCACAGCCCATCCAGTCCCTAAAAAGGACCAGGTGCCATGGACCCTTAATGGGATGCCTTGCTTTTAAACTGTTAAAGCCTTTCCCTACCCAGCATGAGACTGAACAGTCATAAAAAGGGCCCCGAAGCAAACTTGGAAGCCTAGCATTTTGTGAGGCTTCACTTTAAGCGATTTTTATCTCGAGATGATCTGCCCCTCAACCCTAGCCTAAGCAGGACACAACTGAAGCAACTCTCAGGCTGTAGGTATGAGTGACATTCTCAGGAGAGGAAGAGAAAGGGTTGAGGGCTTCATTGTGGCAAACAAACTACTTCAGCTCCTTTTAGATTAAAAGTGGTCCATTCTGGGCTTGGTATGTTCTAATCACAGGAGAAAACTTCATTAACATAGAGCCAAATAGCTACATCATATATCCATATGAGGATTCAAAATTTCATCTGGACAATATATTAATAGATGGGGTCACATCTCAGAAAAGGGGTGCTCAAATTTTTTGAACTCACAAGCCACATTTGTTTTATTTTTTTTTACTTCAATGGGGGCTAAAAGTCTGAATCTTAACTCAATATCTATGACATGCAGACATCTTTGATCCAGGAAGCACCATTATTGCCACCAATATTCCCCTTTCCACTCATGCATGGACTGATCCATGTATTTGGAAAGGAGCAAGCTAAGCTGCAGAGCAATATGTCATGCTGAGGTCAAGGTCTCACACTGTAGGTATGGTATCCATAAATATGTACAACCCAATTATATGAACTGACAATGTGTTGATACAACTGTATTTTCCTTTTTCAGACCAGTTGAAGAAAAGGGAGAAGTTTTTTGTTGCTTAAACATATCATGGTTGCCGAAAGGTATAATGCAAGTATAATTTACAGGGGAAAAAGTGCAATAAGAAGTCAGGAAAAACTAGCAAAAGCAGTTCTAAATGTTGATCGCAAAACCTAGTTGAGTAATGAAAATACAGAAAAACACTCTAAATCTGTTTTACAGTATCAGCATAGAATCCATCTATCCTGATCTTTAACAAATTAATGCCATGCCATGGGTTGAGGTACTTTAACCCTTTCAACACACACAATGCATCAGTGTTATGGAGGAATCATGGAACCGGTACTGATGCTCAACGCTTGATGAGTGCCTACAGGGTGGAACAGTATCACGAGAGTTAGTAGAGTCAGTGGTAATAGCATTTGAGTAGAAAACTTTAGCATAAGAAAATATTATTTAATTTAATGCAATAATTCTGGCATGAGATGGCAGAAAATTGTGTAATACCTGGTGGTCAAGGGGTTGAGGGCACTGTATACAAATATAGAATGGGTGAGCATGCCATGAACTTCAAATTTACTTTGAACATATACTGAATCTTACAATCAATGCCTCTCCAGGCCTAGTTTGAGTGGAATAGAGCCACGATGTTGAGATTCCATTTGCAGCACTTATGGAAAATTTACATCTAGACACTAGCCAGATAGAAGCTTCATAATCAAGCCACGGATTGAGCAAACCTGCATTTGAGTCTGCGCCATCATGCTGATCTCATTCTTATGAGGCTAGCGAGAGTAATTCACATACGTCATCCAAGCACAACCGCACAGAAACGAACAGTACACCTCCAGTCATCCCTACAAGTGCAATGGAATTAAACTATGGGCTCAGGCCTTTTCTAGTCGAGGTGTAGTGTATGCATTTAAGGTACATTTGGCTCTCACCAGCATTCTTCTCTCAAAAGAAGCAAGTAGCAATTAAATGAGGTTTAAATTATTGTTGTCATTATCTCTGGCATATTAAAATGGAGGCTTTATGGTTGACACATCGAGGTATCATCTTTCTCATGCCACATGAGAAAATCAAACTTGCACGTTCCCTGAACCACACAATAAGAAAGAGGCATCGACTCTGATGATTGATGTGACGATTAGAATGACGTAATGACATTGAGCAGGTTCTGCAAAGAGTATGTATTATGAGGGTTTTTTTTTCACTTTTCAGTGAAACAAAAACGAAACGGCCATATTGTCGTTATGGTCTGGAGCAGATCATATAGGGATATGACAAAACTGCCAATATCTCAAAAGTTCTTGATATCTCAGGATGATTTTTGGCAGGCATGCTTTCCCTGAAAACGTAAGTTGGTAAGCCAATTTTTACTGAAATTGAAGAGGCGGTATTTTTGCCAAATTACGTCATGATTTAGAGTTTCTATTTCATCGCAACGTCTTATTTTTTAAAGATATTATTTAAGCATCTAATACTATTGGAAAGGGCAGGAACATACCCTTCAGAAGAGCCATATATCATTTCCTTACCTTGAAGAGAAGAGAAGTTATAAGCATTCTCAGGGAGAGAGATGCTAAAGGTTAACAAACCGGATATTATCTATGGCGCCTCTTATCTTTAGCTATAAGTGACGGAGGACAAACTTATTTTGGATTCCTCTCTTCTGAATGGGACAAATATATACGGTAGTTAAAATTTCGTCAAAATCTGCAGGGATCGCGTTTTGTCGTGTGTTGATTTGACGTGGAGTGACTCAATATTGAAAAGTGCGCTGGTTTCGTCCCCAAATGTTATGACCTTGAATAATATGTGGTCTCGTTACGGTGTTATGATGTGGTGTTGACAGAAAAATTCAGATGCAGATATCAATACTGATGCACTCAGATTTGCATTCATTTTGAAATTGCGAAGATAGAGACGCAGAAAACTCCTGAAAATGATGGCCATTATAATCTCTGAAATTGGAGCGATCCACTTGAAGCAAATCGGAGCAATGACATGACTCTCACGAAGTGCACTAATCACGTTTTCACTCCGAAGCGGTAGGTACTGATATACACCGCCGTTATACAAAAAAAAAATACTCGGAGCACTTGAGAGGACAAATCGCAGTGTCGCGTCTTCATTTGGGTCATGGAATCTTAAGTACTGAGTGTGCCGTAAAAAGGTTAATGAACCGCAATTAAGTACTTAGAAGATACGAGTGTAAACGGTTCAATCCCCATTATTATTCATCATCGCCGTCACCCCCACCGTCACCGCTGCATGTTCAATGTGCCACGTTAAAGACATAAGTCAATTGGAAGAACCATACTGTTCACCATCGCAAGTAATGTGTCTTCAGTCTCATAACTGATAACTGCAAGAATGTTACGACAAAAAATATCCTCAAGTGTTACAGAACTGGGTTAATACTAAGGGTTAAGGGTTATTTGATGGAAAAAAAGGTAGAGAAAAGATAAAAGAGAATATATTTATTTAAATTTTTTTTGACGCACCCTGTATATACATATACGTATGTATCTATGACTTCGGTACTTAAAAATAATAACTTGAGCTCATGAATTCCATTTTAGATTTTAGGACTCCCACAGGACAGCGGAAGTCAGAAATGCCCGAATCGGTAAGGATGTAGCTGTGCCTCAATTAGCGGCATGATACCTCACGGAGCTTCTATGTTCTGTCGTTATGGTAACGTTTTAGGTGAATAGAGAAATGTATCAGGAAAAGCATCACGTTGTGAAAAAAGGGTACCACCAACGATTCACTTTTCCTGGCTTATGGTTGATGGCTTCAACTTCAGTTCATGTTGATTTGAAAATGTAGATGTGTGTCCATACCAAACAAAGGTCTTTCAATCCCACATGAAACTGCATTCACCCACTTGAAGAACATGATATATGGATAGTGACTTCACTCGGGTTGTGAAACAGATGCAACGATAACGATACTCTACCCAATCGGTAGAAAACGTCCACCCTTTCAGTACAGACGAGGCGAGATGAACGCAGCGCACAAGAACGATGAAAGAACAATTGCATGCCTTCCGGTCGAAACATCCTTCCCCCTAGAAATGATAGTTGGAGAAGGCAAGATCGAATCCAGCTCTTTGGGTATCCTTCAAGGATGGCCGAGTGTAGACCGGAGCATATCCCCAAGGAGGGCCGGGATCCAGAGCGACCTTCTTTCTGGACTCTGCTTCCACTGCCATGGTGTCATTCGCGGCCACGCGTGAAGGAAGGGAAAATGCACCTCGGTGGATTGGCAGCTCTCACCAATGCAAAAATTATCACAAACTCACATGTGAGCATGGTCGTACGTGTCGGTCCTATTTTATCCTTCCGGGGCTTCCTCCAACCGTACAAGAGAAGGTCCAGGATCCACTCCAGCATTTCCATGACGGAGATGAAAGAGAGACCGGTGTAGAGACCCAACAGCCCGCCGACCGTGCCGACGAAGCTCGTCCACTGTTCAAGAATATTTATTAAAGGGGAGTGAGGGATCGAGTTTTGGGGGCTTTCCAGAATCCAAGAGAACTCTTCCATCTACTCGACTCACAGGGTACATCAGAGTTTCCACGGTTTGCTCCACTGCCATGGTTTCGAAGTATATGTTCACCACAGCGAGTTTCTCTCTGGGGAAAGAAATTATGCTGATAGGCAAAAGCTGACCATCGCCTACCGCAATCACTCTTTGGAATTTAGATTATTGACAAAAGCATCGTGCTACATCTATCGGTGGCTCGATAGGCATAATATCACTATAATCCTGAGGGAAATACCTACTCTGGGAACCGCCGTAAAAATATAATACGACGATGCAAGAAGTGATACGAATTCAAGATTCGAGGTTTCATTGTGACGTCAAAAGGCGAATCCGCCCATATTGACGTCCCGGATCGAGTTCCCTTGGAAATTCAATTCCAAAATTCACTTGCAAATCGTTGCATTCTTCGGATACCGCATCGTTAAATGACGGCAACGAATGAACTGACTGGGGCTGTCGGCAGTAGCTCAGAAATCTCTGCTCGCTCTCGATTTTCCCCTTCTCCTTCCGCATCCACGCGACGAGATCCAGGAGCCTTGCGGTCTCGGGATCCAACTTCGCCGAGGAGAAGGACCACTGGAACGTCTCCTCCCTGAAGGCGAAGGCGTGGTGTTATATTTTCGTCTTCGTGGGCGGAGGATTTCGATCGAGTCGAGACGTACGTGCAGGAGTAGGGGGGACAGCCGCAGAGGTTCTCGCCCTTGTTGCTCGACGCATCCTCGGCGTCTCTGAAAGCTTTTGTTCCGGGAAACAGAACACGAGATGGTTATTCCATTATTTCTCTAGCTGTTTTCAAGAGACCGATGAGGAACTTCAGAGTCCAAGTCACATACTGACTGGCCCTTAAATCAAGTTGAAGAAGACGAAACCCCCATCACTGACTAAAAAAAATTTTTTGTCGCATTTCTCACCTCTGGAGTAGCAAAAATCCAACGGGTCAGACCAGTCGCACGTCTCCTTTCCGAAGTCTCGCAGCACCTTTCGCCTGTAGCACAAGTCCAGGCACGTCTGACCGAAGGTGAAAGACCACGAAAGACCACGCAAGTTGCATCTTTTCCCGGAGGGTAGAGACTATCGTCGAAAGGATCCCCTGCCCCGATCCTAACCTTTTTCCTATAATGCATATCGTGCGAATAGACGAGGAGCGATGTGTCCAAATGCTCATCGAGATAAGAATCCAAAGCGCAAGTGCCTCCATCCCCAGGATGGAGCCTTTCGAACTCCAGCTTCCTCACGCCGATGTAGGAGACCTCGTCGAAGTTGACGTCGAATCCGTCTCCGATGGTGTCGCCTTCCGTGTCTGAGGGGGCGTGGATCTTGATCCTGAAGCCCTGAGTCGTCGACAGGAGGCGCAGGTCGTTCGGTGTGTAGGACGTGAGGATGAGTTGAAGCCCTTTCTGCCCGAACGAGGGAGAATAAACGGACCAGAATTTTTATTCGCGCCTCTGGTCGTTTAAAGGTCCTCATCGTTTAAAGGGCCTCACCGAAGGGTCCATGCCCTTGAAGAAACTCGGCTCTCCGGCGCGATAACCGTATTGGGACGCCTCGGTGGCATTCACCTTGTGCTTTCCATCGGCGTTGAAAGTGATACAGTTTCCGTATTCTGAAGTCAGCAGATCACCGAAATCTCTGGAAATGCCAAAAAATGCACAGGTAAAATCCGATCGAAATTCTTTGGCTACTGCTAGTTCCATCGTGAGTGACGTCGTTCTCTCCCTTTGTAACTTGCTTGGTAACAATTCACTTCTTTCATTCCTGCTTCAACAAAATTTTTTTTTTGACAGAATGGTCTCTAGTCTTTTCGAGGACAACCCGAACGACTACCTTCCAGGTTCATAATGTTGCAATTAGTTTTGCTTTTATTCGCTATTTAGAGATGGGAACTCAATCACGAAAATCGAGGAAATATTCCTCACCGCGGATTGCAAGGTTCCTGATTGAAGCTGCAATGGCGTATCGCCTTCTCCATGTCGAAGAGATTCCGCCTGCTTTTCACGTCCGTCTGCTCTAGAAAACCCTCCAGCGTGAAGGACTGGATGCGGAGCAGGGCCTTTAGGAGATAGCGTATTACACTCTCCGAGACGGAATCGTCTGTAAAATAATAATAATAATAGTAATAATAATAAGAAATCTCGCAAATGATGCTCCGATGAGGACGGGTTTGGTGATGGGATGGGAGCACCCGTCTCAAAAAATCCTGTAGGATCCTTGGCGATGTAAGAAAAAAATTATTATTGGATCCTCCAGGATTTTTTCGTACGGGAACCTCTTCGTACCTGTCCATTCGGGGTCCGTCTGGTTGTTGCACATTCCGTCTTGCGCGACTCCATCCGGGTGGCCTCCGAACTCCGGACCTCCATCCGGATTCGTGGCATCTTTCTCGTCCGGTTGGGGGAATATGCTCCCTGAAATTTGAAATTCACCGAATTGCTTTCGCTCTGATCCTCAACGGATTCAACCGAGTCCTCGACCGACTTCTCGGCGGAGTTTCACGGATTGGCGTCCGTGATAGTCGCTAGTTGCACGCCAAAGTCGAAACAAACAAGGAGAGTTACAAATGTGAGACGCACATATTCGTGTCCTTCGGGTCCTCGTACGGGCGTACGTACGTACCGTTGTGCGCATGCGATCCACACGTTCACGTTCGTGCGTCACAGAGGGATTTGTCCCGGTTCCCGATGCAGTACTCAACATAGGCAAAATATGGCTTTTATGCTCCCCCGAACAATCCAACTTCACTCAGGACGAATTGGACCTTAGGAGAAGTGTTTTCCACCTTTCCCTGTCTTCCTTTGATAAGTTTACAAACTTATATTACGTAAAAGTATGACTAGTATCGTGTTTCTATAGCAATCGAATATTCTGGAAAAATTTTAATGCTAGTCTTGCATTCAAAATTTGGACAAAATTCTGAGTTTTGCACGAGGACAGAGATGTGCAAACTGATAGGTTAGGAGTTTCAACTTTCAGCCGAACGAGCAGCCAACTTTCAACGAGCTCGAGTTGTGTATCGTCTTCGCGATAGTTTGAGGCTAGCGACGTGCTGCATCTACGACGGCTGGAGAAGGCGCTGCGAACGAGAGGAGGTCTGTCTCGGGGGGAACGCGATTCGCCGGCTGTCGGGATGCCGAATGGTGCGAGGAGGCGGACGGGGTCGTCGGATCTTGCCTCGAGGTTGAATTTGACTGTTCGTCGGGAGACCTTTCGAGCGCCCTGAAGCCCAAAGCGCCCTTAACCTCAGATTTTCGGGGAACCCTCTCAGCTTCCGACTGGCTGATGCTTTGTAACCGAAATTCAGCAAATCATTGATATCTTTTGCAATTATGGATTACTTTTTCTGTGAGTTTTGGTCGAGCGACTTTCTGCGATTTTGGAGGGTGAACTTTTGAACTTTGTGACGTCCGAAGAAAATTTTAGTTGTCGAAGTGTAGTGGTATTGGTCGAAGTGTCTTCGAGTAGTCATTGCCACTACCACTACCATTGCACTATGCCATAGTGATTGGGGTCGTGGATCGCCCTGCCCACGGAGGCTCATGGGTCTGTAAGGTTTTTTTTTTCCTACCGAAAAGTAGCCATGGCACGTGGATAGAGTACGATGCGGTCTACTACAGAGCCCTCTACTGGCGTGCAGAACCTTCTTATGGCATGTAAGAAAAATTCCTTGACTCATGAACCTCTCTGTCAAATATCAGCTGCATCCAACTGTCCCTAGACAAGTTATGGCGAATCATGATGAGGTGGTGACTTTATAGTGACCCTGTATTTAGGAATTTATCATCCGTGATTTGGGGCCATATTGCGCCCCCATAACTAGATGTAAGCTCACATTTCTCGGCTTCCGCTTCAAGCACAGACCGACGTCTTTCCTCTATTGCCTCTTCCCTAAATAATCCGAACGTTCGGCATATTTAATTGAATTTGGAGAGAGTCAAGCATAGGTCATTACCACACTTGAGGTGCAACGATCCATCTCGAGACAGTGTAAATGGGCCTCGCACGACTTAGGTAGAGGTGCTGAAAAAAATACTGACATGCATCTCAACACGTTCTAACCGTCCAATGTTGATCGCACATCCAATGTATCTTCATTTTTCATGCATGAAGCTGTGTTTCTCCCACAGAAAATATTAGGTTTTTTATCACTCAACACTTACAGTAAATTTGATCGAAGGCTCTGATGCACGTCGACTGCACGCGATTCTCATCCACGCCGCATTTCGCATCAGAGAAACAAGTCGGATCCGCCATCGCCTGGCTGCACTCATCCTCGGCCCTCGACAGCCTCCGAAGCACCCGCTGGAGCGCGCGGTCGAGCTTCAAGACGCCCCGCAGGGATTTCTCGAGGCTTTGGACATCGGCCATGTTCATCAACGGAGCGCTGTGCGGGCAGATCGTGACCGCCGGGAACTGGAGAGAGTCCCGCGTCACCATCTATGTAAAGAGTCCATCGTCTGCGTGCAAGCCAGGTGAAAGACGAAAACCGAGTCGGCCGGGGATCGTTCTACCTGCGTTCCGGTCGTGGTCGGGTTGGACATGTATAAGTTGATGACGTCCACGATCTGGTAGATCATGTAGCCCGTGGCGATGAAAAAGACGATAAGCCAGAAGAGTTTCCTGAAGAAAGAGGATTCCGGGTACGCAGAACGACCGAGAGCCTACGCGGACGGAATCGAGAGCATTCAATATTCAGGTTATACCTTTTAATGTTTATTGACTGTCATGAAAGTTATTTAAGAGAAAAAAAAGTAACTCATTCCAGGAGCGTTTCCATAATTTTGGCACGATTAATTTTCCCAGTAAGGAGGATAAGTATTGCTTCCATTAAAGTGAATTGCCACATTTTGTTAATATTTGGCCCGAATCTTCAAACGACTGTTTCCTACTTCCGACTGAATCCCCATGAATTACTCGCTCCCCGCCTCACACCCCACCACCCCACGTCTTTGGAAGAGTTTTGCAGCTCCACTACCCGGTTCGAAACCTCAACTTACTGTGTCCTAGCGAGAAAAAATCCAAGAATGACCCGAATACAAGTTACATATTGTACAGTATTCCAAAAGAGTCATCTCATTACAGTTAAATATTACTTGAGCTCAAAAGCTATGAAAAATCAGGTACGGATACTTCACTTAAAAAGTACAATAAGTACGTTCACAAGTACTAAGGCGATTCTGGCAGCGGAAATTCTGGCTTCCAGAAAGCAAAACATTGTGAGGAACAAGTTATTGGCCTTCTAAACTGTAGGAGATTCACTGAAGGAGTCCGTTGACCCAGAAGATTGACGTTTAACAAATTTGACCGATGGATTAATCGCCGGCGTACAAGCTCCTTCAAAAGAATTGCCTGCATCGGGATCATGTCATAGAACCGGATACCACTACCCACTCACATGTCCGGTGAATCTCTCGAGGAATCTGACGGTGACAGGGCCGACGCCGACGGTCTCTCGCCGTTCGTCCTCCAGTTGGGCCTCCTCTCCTCCCTTGACTCCGTGGTGAAGGGCCGCTTTGCTTCCCATTCTCTCGGTTTCTTCCTCCAGGAAGGCGCGTCGGCCGTTAAACTCCCTCGGATCGAGTCCTAGAGCAGAAATATCGTAAACGGAATCAGGGACAGGCAAGAAGGAATGCGAGGGTAGGGCCATGCGAGATTTAGGCCTGGGTAAGTCAGTGATAATCCAGATCCCTTCGAACGTGGGTTCGATACACGGGCTCTCCTGTACGCGCATCAGGTATTACTAATGTTGCAGGACCGTAATGAGGCCTTTTTCCTGGCACCAGTCGTAAATGAGCGTTTATGGATATAAAACGTGCCCAGCGCTGCCAATCGTCCAAAGGCAATACGCAATCACGCACTTCCAAGTGCCCTCATTTCCCCAAGGACCCCGTTCCGTGACTCCTATACGGTTCGTTAGGGTTTCCCAGTAATTATCGTCAGCCTTCTTTATTCCCCCGCTTTTCTTCCCTTAGCACCGGACCGCATGCCCATTCGGGAGACCTGTGCCATTTCCTGCATTACACTACTGAGGCACATTTTGAATCTGAAAGTCCATCGTCACGGATCTGACTCCTTTCGTCCTTTCCTCGACTGTGAATATCGGACGGCGAATATCAAATAGATTTCAAGGAAAGAATTACAGTTGCATTTCTATTTCCTGAATATTTTTTTTACTTCCTTAAGGCTGATCTAATAGGAAGAGCTGTGTTGGGAGTGCAACGCGTTTAGGTAATACGGTAATTAAATCACATTATATTATTAACACTTATTAACACTTTCTCGTTTAAAAAATTACTGGAAAATGTTGACAATAGAACAGCAGAGATGAAATTGTATTACACGGGGGATACGTTTCTTGGTTTAATGAAATTTCAAGGAATATTCAATGAAAGTGTTATGATCCGATATGAAGAAAAGATAATAATTCCGAGCAAGTAATTGACCGACTCTCGCTTTCACACTGGAAATGTATGCATTTTTTCGGGCCAACGTAAGAGGACATGGGACGGAAGACCATCGACACGTTCGATGAATTTGCCGAGAAATCTGACGGTGACAGGGCCGACGCAAAGAGTCTCTCCGTTTGTTCTCCAGCTGGGCCTCTTCTCCTCCCTTGACTCCGTGGTGAACGGCCGCTTTGTCCCCCATTCTCTTGGTCTTTTTCACAAGGACGGCGCATCGGTCGATCTCGAACGCCGTCATCGTTGAGTACATTGGATGAGTCTGTTCCCGTAGAATGCGAGTTGAATGAACGAGCTGTTCGATCTTCGCACCAGGTGTTACTACTAGTAGGCCATGGATATTGGACCTTTTCTCCTCTGCCGATCGTAAATGGATGTTTACATGATATAAGGAATGGGGGGGACCCAGCGCCGCTAATGGCCCATAATCAGCACGTCCTCATGGACGTGCTGATTATGGCCTTTTATTCTATGCCCTTGTTACGTGATTCCCGTAAGGTTCGGTAGGGCTACCAGTATTTGTCATCATCGCTCTCAATATTCCCTGCTTCCCTTACGAGAATGTAGTACCCTATCACATGTTCTGTACCATATTGGAGAAATGCGCTCTAGTATGTGATATTCCTTTTTACAATCTGGAAAACTTGAAGTTGAATGGAACTGGGAGCGAAGAAGGGAATGACTTGCGCCGTCACTGAATCGCAAAGGGTCGTAATGTGGCGCGAGTTACATGATGGACGATGGTGTTGCGAGGCACTTTCGGGGCTCGTAATAATAACCAGCAGATATAAACGAAGGGGGGGGGGGAAAGGTAATAATGATCATGATCGCCACCCCTCCCTCCCACATAATAATGGGAGCTCGGAAGGACAAGCAGCTAACCAATAATTCATGATGATGTGCTTCTGGGTAATAACGGTAAACCATGCCATGGGACCAAGCCGGGGTTCCACAAATTAATGTCTTCATGCTTTTCTTCAAGGAGACTTCCGTGACTGTTTCCTAGAAGATTATCTTTCGGAGAGGGATAAGCTTGTTCATGTTATTCTCATCCCAGCAGAGAGCTATATTTATTTCGTTCTTGCAACCTGATGCAGACTATACAGATTCACTCCGCGATCCAGCATTTGATACACCGAGTTTTTTTGGGGGGAGATTTTTTGGCGATCCTTCTTTTGCTCTTCGGAGGGTTGCTAGGTTCCGATGATAACAGTTTTCATACGGCACTGCGTCTGTCCTGGCGGCAAGTTTTCTTTGCCTGAAAATACTATCTCGATTGGAATGGACCTGGAGTCTGAAATGGTTAAAATTATGACATTATTTAAAAAAAAAATGAATATTCGTATCGTCAGAGCTTCCGCAACATTTCTGTAACCTTTTCGTTTTTGTATTTGCAAAATTTGGCATTTCTAAGGAAGCAAGAGCTTACGTTTTCGAGGGAGTTAACCCTCCCACCCCTGTCGTCACCGTGTTTGGGTTCCGAGCGGAAGAACGATGTCTCGAGTACGAGCTGCCAAGATGAGGTTCGCGGCGCGTTTCGGCGGCGGAAAGCCCAGCGGGAGGACGCGGAATGCCAGCATCATCGAGAGTGGGAAGCCGTTCAGCTGCCTCTTTCGATCGAGGGAAGCCAAGCAGGCTGGTTGGTTTGAGAGTCTGACCGGTGGGAGACCGCTCGATAGGCCTCGGGCAGGGTGGGGTGGCCGAAACTCGAATCTCCGTCGCGAGAGGCTCGGCATCCCGTCTGCGGGGGCCTTTGTCCACTGTCCAGGATCGCTATGACTGGAAGATTCACTGGGCCTTCTCGCGCCGCAACCCCATTACAGAGGGAAAAACGGCATGGAAAAATTGTGGAAGGGCGTGACCATTCGACACAACAACGTTGTGTCAACATTGATAAACGTTTGAAATGTTGAGACATGGCCGAGACATCGACGTGTTAAATAGGTTCTACCAATCGGCGCGAGATGGCGCCTAAGCGTCGACTTAGCGATTCTCACAGTGTTGCCATTGGAATGAGTCCCCTGCATGTCCCACTCATTATCCGATCTTTTCCCAAATGCAACTTAAAGGAGGGCCTTGGAATTCATGAATAGACTCGTTTAAGACGGTAACTCAGCCGAAGGAGACTGCAAGTACTATTGGCCGAGGTAATATAATAATCTAATATATATAGACGATCGTGACTGACTGACGCTAATTCTAACCATGTTCCAGAAGGGTTAGAAATCTGAAACTTGGTACACAAGTACCTTTTGGGATGCAGAGTTCAGNCAGAAGGGTTAGAAATCTGAAACTTGGTACACAAGTACCTTTTGGGATGCAGAGTTCAGAAAAATTCCGACTTTGGAGGTACATGCCCTGGGGGTACACATTTTGGGGGGAAAGATTTTGCTGAAATATATTTTGTGACAGGTGAGGATGGCATTCAGAGAGTCAACTGGATGTGCTGGGATCGGTGGTGTAGTAGTAGCATCTATGCCTGGCAATTAGAAGGACCCGCTCATTCATTGGCTTCATTTTGGCTTTTATTGCCTTCCATGTCCCGTCAATCATTTCGCCACCGTAACATTAATTTTGCTTAAGTAAAGCGGAGAGTCATGGAAAGCTGAAACTTGACATGGAGGTGCATACCTAGACGATGAGTTCAGGAAAAATGAAAAATTTTAGATCCATGCCCTGGGGCCATATTTTTGTGAGCCGACGTTTTCAAGTATTTTTTTTTGTCCTGGCGTATGGAGCTAGTGTGGAAAGATGAAACTTGGTACAGAACTACCTACTGGGATGCTGTAGAAAAATTCCGGCCTTTCAAATAAATGTCCTGGGGGCACAAATTTCAAAGGGAGATGTTTTCAACTAATTTTTTTGCATCAGTTAAACTGATGAACATGGAAAGCTGAAACTTTGCATGAATGTGACAACTGAGACAAGGAGCTAAATGAAAAAGGTTAAGTCTCAATACATCCCATGGGGGAATTTTTTCGAGGTGCGATGTTTTGAAAAAAAAAAATTGTCGTGGCGAATTGGACAGAAATGGAAAGGTGACACTTCGCACCCGTATAAGTGACATGATATTAATGAGCTGAGGGAGTATTCATCTTTCATGGTGCATCCCCTCCGGGAATAGCTTTTGGGTGGGTCCGCTATTCCAAACATGTTTTTTCATCAGCGAAAAGGGCAAACGTATATTATTGAAACTTTGTGGGCATGTATTTCACTGAGGATGGATTTCGGAAAAAAAAGAAGATACTTCTCGGTTTAAACGGCTCAGGGAACATTTTGCAGAAGACATATTTTCCAGAATATTGTGATCAATAATTTTCTGATCAGCGAAACATAGGGCGCCAGAAAATTAAAACTTGGCAACAATACATGATGGATAGCTGAGTAAAGAAAAAATTATACTTTCATCATACATAGAGGAACGTGAGTAGCTCACTGACTGACATAACTACACACACAGCACAAGTCGGTTTGGTTACCAAGACATCACAGTAAAGTAACCATGCGTGCTGTTTTTTTTCTTT